TTTTATGTCTTACAGGGTTTATACTGAGTTCAATATTGTATAACTGTATTAATTCAACTGTGAACCTAAAAATTTACAGCCACTTTTGAAAGAGATGTATCCTTGCTCTGGAGTGTGTTACTGAATATGTTAAAGCTGTAATGAAATGCTTCTTCTAATCATGTAGTTATTTAAAAAAATTTTAATTAAAAAAATCTTTCAAAAAAATAATTTTTGCTCTAAAAAAAGAAAATATGAAAAAGCATGAAATTTTGGAGAAAACACTGAAATTTCACCACCCTGAAAAGCACTTTTCAGCATTTTAGAGATCATCTTTCCATGCTTTTCTCTGGACATATATATCTCTATAATTCTGCATTAGTTGAGTATCAAATCTTTTTTCGGTACTTTCTAGGCCTTTCTTTTAATCATACTTATGGGCAAGGCCCTGAGTTTGATACCTAGTACTGGAAAAAAAAATCCTATTTTCTGCTTCGTCCTCTCAAATTGTCATTTCCTAACCCTCCAAGTCAGTGTTAACACCGTGTTCTTTATTTATTCATAAATTTCTCCCACGTCCAACACACAGTAGTCTTCCTTTTCCTTTCTAAATTTTTTCCCAAAAATAGGGCTATAATTCAGTTGCTTTTTCTTGCTTCACTCTGTTAATATATCATGAAAATTACCCCCCAAGCTAACTGGCATAAATCGAACTCATTCTTTATGGCTAGAAAATACCCTCAAATGCCTCCACATAGATTTCCCGTTATTGATACTATAAATAATGATTCAGTACATAGCCTTGACTATATGCCCTTAAGCAGTATTTGAATGATTTATGATAAACCTGCTCCAGGATTAGCATCAAATTTTCTAGTCTATTGCTTCTCTGAGCCACTTTTTCCTCTTCTGATAATTAAGTCTCCATAGGCTTATTTCCAAAATTTAGAATCATGCTATCAAAGGTCCTAAAATAAAATCACGCTCTACCCTATTGTCAATGATGTTACTCTCCTAACTCCTAGTTACTTATGAGACGAAGTCCAAATTTCTCAGTATGCGCTCAAAATCTGCTGTAGGGCAGGGCCTCTTGTTTACTACCCACAATGCCACCTCCCCAGCTGTGCCCTTTGCTCCTCTGCTGCAGAGCCTCAGTCTGACTTGGCCACCTATGGATAGGTGATAATATGGCGAACAAGAGCTATTATAACCTTTTCTGTACTTACATAGTTCTTGGTACATTTTCTTTCTTCAGTAAAACCTTTACTTTAAAATATTTTGAGGAAGATAGAGAGATGGCTCAGGGATTAAGAGCACTTGCTGCTCTTACAGAGGACAGGAGTTTGGTTCCCAGCACCCACATGGGTAGTTCACAACCACCTGTAATTCTAGCAGTAGGGGATTCAATGACCTCTTCTGTCCTCTGTGGACAACTGCATGCATGTGTGTATACACACACATACAAATAAATAAAAATAAAACAAATAGTTTTAGCCTGACAGAAGATCTGCAAAGGTAATACTAAGAATTCTTGTTTATCCCTCACCCGGCTTCTCCTAATATCATTGGACATTATCACGCTGTATTTGTCAAAACTGAGAAACCAACACTTGATCATTGTTAACCAAACTCAGTTTTCCATGAATGTCTTCTGCTCCAGGCTCCAATCCAGGTTGCCATGTGGCCTTCAGACATGTGACTGGCTCCAATCCAGATTTCCATGTGGCCATCAGACATGTGGCTGGTGCCCAGGGTCTTCAGTGCCATTGTGTCTTCCCTTTTGCTCAGGTTCTAAGTTATCTCACCCAGAGGGTGATTCTTATTTTTCCACCTCAACTCCAAGCAAAGTCTAAGACTTTTTAATGAAATTTATTGTATCATTGTTGTTTGCTACTTTAAGACAGTGTCTAACTGTGTATCCCAGACCAGCTTTGAACCCTACTATCTCAGTCTCCTGACTGCTAGATTGCAGACATGTGCTGCCACACCCAGTTCTAAAACTAATTTTAAATAAAGAGGGAAATTCTTTGTGATTTAAAAGGCATGTATTCTCACACTTTAAGGATGATATTTATCAAAATAAAAGATAAGCAATATTCAGTTAAAAGAAAGGGGCTTTCCTCTGGGAAATGCCACTGATATAGCTTAATTTTAATTTAAATAACATAGTTCTTGTATATTGTAAACCTGATAATCTTCATCATAGGTAATACATTTCACATATACCTACAATCCCTCAGTATACTGTTCTTTTTTCTCTTTATATAATTATCTTCGATTGCATAATTGCAGATGTGAATTTACTAAGAAATTCTTTCCTTTCTGAGCAAGTGGTTTACAAAAAGAAAGCAAATCCATATTGAATCCCACTAATCTACCGCCCAGACTGTACAAGAATCACCAAGAATCCCTCGAGCCCTTGTAGGTCTAGCAAGGCAGAAAGAAATACACAAAGCAAAACTGAGGAAACAGAAAAAACGGGTCTCAGTGTTTTAAGCAGATGCAACCCACCAAATTAGGAAATTAAAACAGAAAACTTATGTGCTCATCTCAAAAAACATGTAAAGGGCCAGGTGTGGCACATGCCTTTAGTTCTAGCCCTCAGGAAGCAGAGGCAGAGGCAGGTAGATCTTTGTGAGACCAAGGCGACCTGGTCTATACAGTGAGTTCCATGCTAGTTGGGGTTACAAAGAGACTCCGTCTCTAACAAACAAACAAAAAGGCAAACCATATCCAATCATGATAAAACTAAGTAAAGAGAAAAGGTGTCTACCAAAAATCTACAATAAACATTCTATGGCGAAAATTAGGATTTCCTTAATAATTATGAATCATGAATTTATTGCCACTTCTATTCAGCATTCTATGGAGCCCTAAACAACAGGGTAACATAAGGAACAAAGAAAGGTTCTAGAAGCATTGAAATTAAGGAGTGAAATAAGTTTGTTCATTTGTAATGACTGCACAAAGAGAAAAGTTCCCTAACAACTGCATTTAAATGCCAAGCATCTTAGTCTCCTTCTGGTTGCTATGATAAAATACCTTGACAAAAGCAGTTGCGGGAAGAAAAGGCTTATATTGGCTCACAATTCCAGGTGATAGCCCATCATTGCAGGGAAGTCAAGTCAACAGGAACTTGAAGCAGCTGGTCACTGTACCGTCAAGAGCACACTTGTGCTCAGCTTGCTTTCTCTACTTGTGTATAGTCCAGGAACCAAACCCAGGGAATGCTGAGGCCCACAGTGGGCCGAGACTTGCCATTTAAGCAAGACAGTTCCCCTACAGGTATGCCCACAGGCCAAGCAGGCCTAGATAATCCAACACTGGGACTCTCTTTTCAGTGATGCTAGGTAGTGTCAAGTTGACAATTAAAACTAACCATCACACAAGGAAAGTAGTGTAACTCAGTATCTCAAAACCAATTTTATTTGTATGTCTTGGCAACAAAGGATATAGACTATTAAATTATCTACTTAACAGGGCTGGAGAGATGGCTCAGCAGTTAAGAGCACTGGCTGCTCTTGTAGATGACTGGGGTTTGGGTCTCAGCACCCACATGGTGGCTAACAACTGTCTGTAACTTCAATTCCAGGGGATATAATGCCCTCTTCTGGCCTCTGAGGGCATTGCATGACAAGGGTGCATGCACTTACATAAATGCAGACAAAACAGTCATACATGTTAAATAAAAAAAATCAATCAAAAATTTAAATTACCTATTTGTAAAAGAAAAGGTATTATTGCTTGATCAAACATAAGTTTTAAATATGCAACATTTTATGGATAAAATCATAAAACTTTTTTGAAGGACATTAAAGAAGGCTAAATAGGCAAATCCCCTGTATTTACTGATGAGGAGATTCAGAATCACAAGTACAACCATTCTCCCCCCAGATTACTAAACTATAAGTTCAATAAACTTGTCATAAAAATTTAAAGGTTTTATGAAACATAACAGACTGATTTTTAAATTTTATGTGGAAAGCAAAAGATTGACCCCAAAGGCACTTTAAAAAGAATGAGGCAGGGAAGAAAGGAAGTAGGAGCTCACTCTGTAATATCCTGATATTTAATGTGAGGTGCTGGGAAGATAGCTCAGTCCTTAACCTGAGTTCAACCCAGAACCTGTGTAAAAAAGGCAGCCAGGCCGGGCATGGTGGCGGACACCTTTAATCCCAGCACTTGGGAGGCAGAGGCAGAGTCAGGCGGCTCTCTGAGTTCAAGGCCAGCCTGGTCTACATAGTGAGTTCCAGGACCGTTGGGGCTACAGGGAGACCCTGTCTCAAAAAGACCGAAAAAAAAAAAAAAGCCAGACATGGGGTCTGGAGAGATGACTTATTGGTTAAGAGCGCTGGTTGCTCTTATAGGGGGTTCAGTTTCCAGTACTTGCATGGTGGCTAACAACCTTCCCTAACTCCAGTTCCAGGGGATCTGTCCCCTTCTTCTGGCCTCCAGGGGAATTGAACTTATTGCACTTATACACATGCAGGCAAAACACTTAGATTGATCCCATAGCAACAAGAAGTAGTGCAACAAACATGAGAACACAAGTGTGTCTCTGACATACTAATTTAATTTTCTTATGCACAACAGTATTGCTGGATCATGTTGTAGTTCTAATTTTACTTTACTGAGGAAACCCTGTACTAGTTTCCATAATGGTTCTAACTAATTCCCATTCCCAATGGTAGTGAACAAGAGTTCTACTTTCTCCACTCCCGTGTGACAATAAAGCAAATCTATTAATTCCCATCTTTTCTGATGCACACAAGTCTGTGTACACACTACATAAGGGAGAAGGAAAAGGTAAGTACTTTGCAAACTGAAGAGCTATTTGTTTTGCAACTGTTTAAGAGCAGAAATTACAAGAAGGAGACTTATTTTTTTCATAGGAGTCTGCAGGGAGATTCTCTGTTCTAACATTTTATTTCTGTCTACAATGACCCAGAAGCCCATTCCAGTAAAATGTATATCATTTTCACATTATTATTTTAAATAAAATCTCATGCCTTCCCAGGGGCCAGGTTTTATCTGCTCTTCCTCGAACCTCGAGGCAAGTTCAAGTTCTACAGAATCTTACTACAACCTACAAGGTAATTTTCCCCTAACTTATGGTATATTGGTTTTCTTTTCTATAAGCCTTGTGAGCCGCTGTGTTCTGCCTCCAACTTGTATGTCTTATATGTATCTGATAGGAATTCAGCCTTCAGCCCCTGCCTGAAATCACCTGTTTGTGTGTAGAGTCAAACCTTCATTTGTGCTACAGGCTGTTCAGCCTCTTCCATGATAGTACCTTGTAGCTGAAAGTGGGTCATCATGGAGCTGAGATAGTAACAGTTCTATAGAAATTTGCTTGTAACACAGTGATTGGTAGCCAAGAAATAGACACCAAACCTACAAGGGAACAATGATTAAATATTCATGCCTGGAACTCATCTATCTCCCCAAGAAGTCTAAGGTGTAGAAAATTGGCAGAAAATTGATGGCTCTGTGTTTGTTAATGTTCTCTGGGAAACAGAGTTCAGATCAGTTTGGAGGTACAAGCAGCAAGGGGGATTCTTGATAGGGATAAAAAAGGAGGGAGCTGGAGGTGGCAGGGACACCCTCAAAGTAGCCCGAGGCCTCTGTAGGAAGGAGGATCATGATGGCGGGTTACAAACTGCATGGCAGTTCCAACAAAGGTTGGGTGGGAGCACCTATAAGTGACGTGGCACAATTCCCTGTGATAAAACCTTGTATCTGGGAGAAATGGCTCTGAATGACTACACTGTGGTAGGTATGCCGGTCACAGCTCTGGGGCAGCAGGGCCTCAGCCTAAGGAACATCAGATGGCAGCCCTGGGAGTCACTTGTGCCTCTGGCAGCCACACAGTTGAGTGGTCCATGTTCATGGCTCACTCACCAGGATGAAGAGGAAAAACCACTAGGGGAAGGTCCAAAGATTTAGAATTTTGTTTCCTTTTTTTCCTGTTCATTGTTTATGTCTATTTTTACTGTTTGCTTGGCTTACAAAGAGTTTCCCTGTGACATTTTCCTACATCTGTCACTACACTCTGTTCTTATTACCCCCGAATTTCATTTCTTATTCTGCTACTTGGTATAGGATTTTAACCAAATTAACTATGAGCTTTAATTGGCTCAGCTTTACGATGAAAATGATGACATCTGCCTGGTTGCCATTAAAGCAGTATCATGATGAGTGAAGGAAGTGAGCGTGAAAGCTCTTTGAAGAAGTTCAGTAAAATGAGAAAAATTAAGCCATTAGATTAAAAAACGAGATACATGGTAATAATATCAAGTACGTGGGATTTTTACTAAGCAAAATCAATGTTTAATCAACTTTCTTCCTAGAGAAAATTTTTCATTTTTCTTTTAAACACCTGACATATGCATCCAGTTTTATAATGGAGTCATAAGTACACTCAGTCTTGGTCTCATTAAATATTTATTAAGCATCTGGTGTGTTTCAGGGCCTCTTTAGCAGCTAGAGTGACAGATTAAAACAAAATGAGTGTTTATGTTATGTGTATGGGGTAGAGACCAGGACCATGTGTCCTCATCATGGCCCTTTTGGGAGGTAGACACAGCTGCTATAAGTCCACCTATGAAAATAACATGAATGACTCTCTGTTCATTCTACCACTTTTTCCCTGGAAACTGTAGGTTGTTCTCTGGCAACCAGTAACAGCTGAATTCATTGAAAAGAAAAAAGAAGTCCATTTTTTTGTGAATGAATCTGATGTCAGCGATGTGAAAGCCCATTTAAATGTGAGCAGAATTCCATTTAGGTAGGTATCATTAGCAACCTACATTCAACAGCTATTAGAAACACCTACAATGCATGTGAGTAGAAGATGGTACACTTGTCTCATGACAAAGTCAAGTACATTAAACATGGCAGCATGGCAGTCTCTGAGATGGGCTGACAATAAGGCCAAGGCCAAATTCGATGACAAGTGGTTTGACCTCATAATGTCAATCCTTCATCTGAAATGAAAGACTCAGTGATCTTCAGAGCCTCTCATTGGTCCTCTTTCTATGACTAGTCTATACCTAGACTTGGAGAGCAAACTGTCCTTCACCATTTCTGTAATAAAATACCTGACAAAAGCAGCTTAAAGAAGGAAGAGTTTATTTTGGCTCAGAGTTTGAGAGTACCATCCATCATGATGGGGAAAGCACGGTGGCAGCAGCCAGTCACATTGCATCCAGAGTCCGGAAACAGAGAGTGGAGAATGTTGCTGATGATGTTGGCTCCCTTTCTCCTTTTTATTCAGTCTTGGACATAGTCCATGGTGACCACATATCAGATGGGTCTTCCTATCTCAGTATATCTAAGCTAGAAAAAACCCTCATACACATACCCAGAGCCCTGCCTCTTCTGTGATCTGGATCTTGTCAGGTTGACAATATTAATCATCAAACCATGGTAGGCTCTGGAATACCTCTTGAAAAAGCAAGTCCTGAAGGTGATATGTCATTTTTCACCAGTTCTTTCTTTGCAAAGTGAAGGTTTCTGAAGTTCCTACCCTCAACTAGAAAGGTGCTCTGACTTTGCAGAACACCTGGACTGGAGTCTGACACTGCCCTTGGCCACCCTATGTGACCTTGTAGGAATTATTAAACCTCTGTGGCTCTGTTTTGTAAATTGGAGATAAAATAATACCCACACATGCCTTAAGTGATTTTTAAGGTGCATCAGGTGTGATTCTGTTTAGAGTCCACTCCTTTCTTTTGATTTCTCTTGTCTACTTTCTCCTCTTCTGGTCCACTGCCCCAGAGCCAGCATCCTCCTGCTGCTTTTAGGCATTCCTTGAGACCATAGTCTTCTGTGTACCAATGGGCATCCTCTGTATACTATGCCATGAGAATTACTGTAGTAGATTATAGGTATTTACTGCCTTCCAAGAACTGTACTGAACCAACCTGTGTCACTTCATCCTTTTTGAACTCTTTGAGGTAAATACTGCCCCCAACATGCAGTTGAAAGAAAGGTCTTACTTATAAAGAAACTTTCAAAATGAACTCGCTGAAATACAGTAAAGCTAGACGTCAACCCCAAGCTTTCAGATATCCAAGTCTTGCCTTTTATCCAGTGGCTTAAATAAAGAAGCTTTTATTAATAAGATAGCTAATTCCAAAGTGTTCATCCCAGCCAATGGAATGTGCCCTAATTCAGGGAACTCGAATTTGGAGACAACTGAGTGTCCCTCTCTCAGCAGTCACTGATTGCCTGTGGCTCTTCATCTAGAGGTGAGACCTTGTGAAATCTCCCCCATCCACACTGGTGTGTCAACTAGTCTTGTCATTAGGCAGGTTTTGTTTAGGCAGTCATGTTGTTGAGATTTCATGGGTGCAGCTTCCCCATTCTTGCAAGGGATGGAGACAATTACAGAGATTCACAACTGTTCAAAGTGCAGAGAACAAGTGACCATAGTATGACCAACCCCAGTTGATACATCAATAATGCAATCCCTATTCGTAAGGGTCAGGGAACATTTTGGAAGCGAGAGTGGAAAGACTATAAGAGCCAGAAGACCGAGAGTCACTTTTTCTTAAAGAGAATTAAGCAAGACGGCTTCCTCAAGTCTTCTTTTTTCCAGTGTTCTTAAGACATTAGATCATCTTTGGCCCTGCACAACATCTGGGGTAGGTCAATGAAAAACAAGAAGGAAAGACTTTCTGCTTTTCCTGGGTCCCTGACTGAAAATTGAGATACTGTTCTGGATTGAAGCAGGGCGTCCACTGATCTCTATATTCATAGAACATATACTGAAGAATCTTAGTCAGGAAACAAAGATATCAGTGCAGAAGGATGAGGTCCGGGCAGTCCCACAGCTGCAACTCAAACAAGGGCCTTTTCCCTGGTACCCACCAGACTCTGCTGAAAGAGTTTGAGAATTCATCTTGTCTCCATGTACAGCTGCGGTGTTTACTTGCCGAATTGCTCCCTAGATCTTTGGGCACCTTCCCCCCATGCTCACATACGGTGACTGCAATGGGCCATGTGGGAAGGCCAGCATGTGTTTAGAAAGCTGCTTACCCTCTGCTTCATCACCAGTGTCCTGATGGAAGATGTGGGGGATCTGATTCAGCAGCAGACTTCCAATGACACAGTCAGCCCCCGGGCCTCCTCCTCATACTACGAACAGTATCATTCACTAAATGAAGTAAGTCACCACACTGTTCCTCGAAGGTACTATTTTCACTTCCCCTGTATTGCCATTTCAACCATGAGACTTTTCAAAGAATCATAATCGATGGAGGATGGTTTGCAAAAATCACACTTAGGTTGATCATATGGTAGCAATTCATCCTTTTGCAGGGAAGGTTGCACCATATTTCATAAACTACCTCTACATCAGCATATTTGTCTATGGCTAAAAATATCTCTCATTTTTAGGGATAATACTGTATGCTCAGAACAACAGAAAGTAAAGAATATGGCTGCTACATCAAACTGCCACAAAAAATTGCCAGTGCAATTCCTCTTTGGACCATTACTTGAATTTTATTTTTATTGAATAATCACCAGATTGCCTGACAGAATTAAAGCAATATGTTCATTTGTATTTAATATGGTATAAATGAATGTATTTTATTCTTCTGATTAGGAACCTTTAAACTAGTACAACAGTAATAATAATGTCAGGATTTTCATCTTTTAGAAAGTGGACTTCTTTCTCTCAATACTTCCAAGTTCTAGAGGGAATTAGAGCATAAGGTCAATGTTCAGTTGCCTTTAGGAAGTTCTTGCAAAGTTCACTAAGAATCATTTCCCCGTATTTGTCAGTTGAAGGGGAGGTTCTGCTAATATACTCCAATGAACTAAAACACTTTGATGTTTTTTTCTTCCCTTAGTGATATATCATGATATTGTCTTGAATAAGTTTTTCTTTTCATCTTTGACTGGGTGCCTAGAAATTATTAGGGACCACATCTAAGACTTAGTTAATAAGAATCAATTTTATATTTAATCTTTGAAGCATCTGCTTCTTTCCAGTTGGCTAAACCAGAGCTCAGTCTGCTTCTAGAACCTATGTGCCTGGCTGATCGATGGACATGCTAAATTTTCATCCCCTTATTTGCCTTTCTTATCCTATATCTGTTCTACCCAGGCCACTTGCCTCTAGCATCTATTGCCAGTAGCACACAACAAGCTTGATGCAGAGAGGCTTGAAAGAGTGACTCGAAAAGCAGAAGACTCACTGTTCGAGTTTGATGGGCAGAGGAGAATACCTTAAACAGAAGTTCTTTTAAATACACTTTAATTTAATTATTTTGTTCCAAAAATTGTGTTGTCTTGCCATCTTCCCATGAAAAATCTGGAATGGCATAAGAAGAAAAAAGCAAGTAACAGTTCTATTTATTCGGTAGGCATTCCATAGCAAAATGCCACAGACCGCATAGAAAAGTATTACAGCTGTGGAGGCAAGAAGCCAAGCACTGGTAGGTTTTGATTCTTTTGGGGCCCCTCTCCTGGGCTTCTCGGCAGTTGTGTCCTTGTCTTGTCCTTACATGGCTTTTTTACCATGTGTTTCCATTCCTGGCATCTCCTGTTCTAATCTCTGCTTCATTTAAGGATGCCAGTTACACTGGATCCGTACAGTCTTGACAGAGCCTAAAATGCCATTGGACTTCCATGCAAAAAAAGAGTCCTTCTGGAGTGGTTGTTTTTCAAATCCCCCTCGCTTTGCCTCTTGTCATTCTACAAGTCTCATTATGATTGTACAGGGTGGCTTCAAGGGGGAGGGGGAATGCTGACATCTTTCCTGTGTAAAAATAGTGTTCAGGATTGCCTTAGTCTTAAAACATGAATTAGGGGCTAGAGAGATGGCTCAGAGGTTAAGAGCACTGGCTGCTCTTGCAGAGGACCTTGGTTCAATTCCCAGGACCCACATGGCAGCTAACATCCATATGTAACTCCAGATCCAGGGGATCCAATGCCCTTTACTGACCTCCATGGGCATTGCACAACACGGGTGCACTTACATACATGCAGGCAATACACTCATACGAATTAAATTAAATTAAAATTAAATTAATAAATAAAAATATTTTTTAAAACATGAACTAATTTGTTTGTTGGAGGTGCACATGTTTGTATGTATGCGTGTGTGTGCAGATGCATGTACTCATGTGTGCACACGTGTGGAGACCATAGGTCGAGATCTGATATCTTCCTCAATTGCTTTCTACCTTATTTTTTGAGTCATGGTCTCTAAATCTGTAGGTCACTGATTCAGATAAACTGGCTGACTAGTGAGCTGTAGGGCTCTGTATGTCTCCCCTCCCCCTCTGCTAACTCTTAGCTCCTTGTTCAGTGCTAGGGTTGCAGGCATATGCTGCAGTACCCAGAGTTTAACGTAGGTGCTGGGGATATGAACTCAGGTCCTCATATTTGCTCACCAAGTACTTTACCAACAGCAGTCTCTCCAGCCCTGAATTTCTTTTTTTAAGTCTCATAAATGTGAGCTTCTGCTCTTGTCAAGAAATCCCAATGGGCTCCAATATAAACATTTGAAATTTTCCCTGTTCTGACTTTTTTTCTGGTTCCCTGTCTAGAACTTGTAATGCTAACTACTCTTGCCTTTACTTCTCCTTCACATCCCTTATTCATGATTCAAAGACTTTCTTTCCCAATTTTGCAATTTGGGAGTCTTTTAGATAGGCCCACTGAAGGGGTACTCCAATTACCTCACTCTGCGTCCCTGTTCAGCATGGAAGAAGCCAGAGTGGTCTGCATCCCAATTTCCCATTGGCAATTTAGGTAACCTCTTCAGGGGATGGTGTGATAAGAACAGGAGGTAGGAATTGGCTAGGCAGTTAGGGTAAAAAGACCCCAAAGAAAAGTAGCCAGTTTCTTGGCTAAATGTCAAAATGTCCTTGGGATTGTTAGCAATATACTCTGTTCCAAAGGCCAAAAATGTCGAAAGTATTTGGGAGTGCTTATCTAATCCCTAAAAGATTTTAGGGTTACCTCTTCAGAGGAGGGAATGTTAGAGTAGCAAAAAGCCCCAGAGAGAGAGACAGAGAGAGAGAGAGAGAGAGAGAGAGAAGAGAGAGAAGAAAGAGAAAAAGAAAGGAAAGAAAAGTACACTAAACTGACAGAAAAAAGTGACAGGGAGATACGGGAGGAGTTGGAGGGGAGGGAGTGGGTGTGGATTTGATCAAAACACCTTATATGCATGTATGAAATTTTCAAAGTTTCTTTAAAGTTAAAAAAAAATCGGTTTATCTGGACCAACTGTCTGGACTTAAACACCCAAAAGGAAAGTATAACCAAAGATTAAAGGGGCCAATATAATTTCATAAGAGTCCATATGTACAGCTAAAGGCTACATAACAAGCAACAAAGCCAGACAAGCGATACCTTCTTTTGAGTTGATGGCCAAGGTGGCCAAAGGTATTCCCATATAGTAACCCAGCATAGAACTGGGAATATGAACAGCAGACCCCAATCTTATCCAAAGGAATATTGACAACTAACTGATCGATGCTAGATGAGGAAC